CGACTTTATTCTATTCGACAGCCACATCCTGTAGTAATTCAGTTATTTACCAGATAAAGCTGAAGTTTCTGGCGTTTCTAAGAAGATATTTCAGTTACAAGTTTCAGATGTTCAATAACCCAAAGCGTCTCCGAGCTTTGTAGTCGTCGGATTCCTTCTTCTGATGCAATTTTCAATCCTCATAATCTTATGCACGAAATGAAGCAGATAGTTTCGGGTACTGTAATATGTGACCGTTTGTTGACCTTACAAGCGCAGTACTGTTTGGTAGTGCAGTGGTTCTATGATAAGGATATTATAAAATATATAGTGAGTGCATTTATAAACAAAAAAACGATTAGTATTCGTATTCCAAGGAATCTACTGCAATAGTTGGTGGCATTCAATGACAAGACAACTTTTTTCGATGAATAATGTCCATGAGCGGGTGGTACTTGAGTGGAAGCGATGAAGAGAAACGTCGAAAAACCGGTTGGAGTTAGTCGTTTTCCGATTCATTCGGTTTTTGTTTCAAGTGAGTTAATGAAACGAGTTAATCATGCTTCCATCGTTTGTTCATGAATTGAGGTAGCAACTATACGTTCTTTCGTCAGATGAAGAATGTTTAAGGAAATGTTTCCGAGCTTACAGAGGCAAGTCACTTAGCTCTCTATTCAGTCTTGACGAATCTCAGCTCGTTTTATCTATCGGATGATGAATGCTTCAGCAATAATTCAGCTGAAGATTTGTTGCTCATAAACGATTGCAAAGGCCTACTTGAAGATGTTCACCATAATCAGTGTTATGTAGCAACAGTGTTGACCTCTCAAACGAGATTCACGAGTTCAATTGCAAAACATCGAACAGCGGAAATTTATACGCTTGTGTGAATGCGATGAAATAAATAAATGATTGTATGCGTCAACTCGAAAATAGGAGCATTTGCAACAGCTTTTAAAGCCTAATCGCTTCCATATCAGTTGGCATGTTTGTTTATTTGGTATGATTACGCCAGTGTTTTGATGAAAACTGATAAGAACAGATGCTCAACGATGAAGAAAATAATCAACGCCATCAGTCGAATAATGAAAATTGTCTCGATGTTTGGAATATAGACTTGAAATGGGAGGGCATAGGCCATATTCTTGAAAGGAAGCAGATCAGCGATTCGTAGAACTGAAGATCAATCACATGATCATTACCGGTGGTCGAAGGAAGCCAGGTTGTTGATAGAAAATAAATAAAATTTTTATTGCACAATCATGAGAAGAATGAATAGAAATCAAATAAATTCAAGACTGGGTGATTGATTGGTTCAGTATAAATAATAATTACTATGCAAATAATCAATTAAACACAACCGCAACAATAAATAATAGGGCTATTAATAAATCAACATAAATAAATTGCATCCACGCGATGTGAATACCTTTCCGCTTAAAATTTATTGCTTTGCGAGGATTTTTGAGTATTTTTTCGGTAATAAACAATGCATGATCCATTGCTGGTATTACTCGATCCAACCACAACGCTTTCACCTTCTTAATATTCCCGATATATTTTCGATCATTAAGCACTTTCGTTAGTTGTTCGGTGAAAATTTGTTTCGTTAATTTCCTTTTATTCATTGTTTCGGCAATACCCAACTGATGAGCAATCAGTGCGTTATGCGCTTGTTCAGCGAAGATTGGCATCAGCAGGAGTGGAACCTGTGCGCATATTGATTCTTTGATACTGAAAAGGCTTGTCTGATCAGTGCTATTCTATTTGGGGTTTTCCACTGACTGCCAAAATGTATGTGCATTTTTCAATCTGAACAAGATACATAAATTCATCATCAGTCCAGCGTTCCAGCGATCTCTTACTCCGATCATTAATGATAACCAACTCGATCTAACATTCATTAGAAGTGTTCACTGTAGCCAAACGATCTGCTAAATACGGCTGCACTCAATGAGTCTCGTAATTCAACCAACGCTGTTTTCAATGACTGACACAAAAATATTGAAACACATGAAATAATTCTTCGATGAAACTGCATCCTTGCAACACAAACTGCATATAACTAACTATTGAAAGTATAACCACCGATTTACCTCTTTAATCCGGCATGACCGATGAAAATTTTCGTTCGATTGTGGTTCAGAATTTGTTTCTGCGGAGCGAATGGAACTATTTTGATATGTTTTGGTACATTCTTAACAGTGGCGTTGTATGCAAACACTATACGATAGTCGGTGAACTCCGTCATTGTCTCGAAGAACACCTCCACTACGAAGTTCGGCGCTGCTCGCCAGTCCACATGATTTCCGAACGCAACCAAAATCGTTCCTGCAAATGATATTCGAATTTTGTTGATCGCTTTCAAATGTCCAATTGTACGTATGCATGTTTAAGATCTTTACAATGCCACCTTCGAGCATCAGTGTTCATTCAACCTGGTCTCGAATACGGTCGTCTACTGGATCTGATTGCTTGACTCAACTGAATGAAAACCTTTCGATGCACGAGCATTCAGAAAGTCTTCGATATCAGGCGGCAACGGGCCGTTCGCTTTGGTGCATACTGAACCAACGTTCACCATTTCGGTGCCTTCTGAAATGAGCACATTCAAATTGTATGTGATTTCAGATGTTTAGTCGTGGTTAGTAAGCATACGTATTTGCAAATAATGCAGTCTATTTGGAA